ACCCCGCGTCTCACCCCAGAGACAGATGCGGGAGGAAGGAGCAGCGTTCACCAGAAAGAAGGACAGGCAGAGCAGTGTCCTGGGAAAACAGCCTGGAGGCGGCGGAGAGAATGGCGACAAGACGGCAAGGAGGCAGGGATGCCGGTCTCCCTCGGGATGTCCGCAGAGTGTAAGTTTCGGGAAGGAGAGGAGCAGAGGGAGGCTGACGGAGGGCGGTAAAGCCACAGAAACGCGGGGAAGAGACGCTGGAGAGGCTTCCATCGAGGGCAGTGACCGAGCGCAGCGGGCACGTGGTTGACGCTGGCCCCAGACATCTGTACGTAGCCTACGCGATCCCTTGTGGACGGGAGCCGCCGGCCTCGGGGGCCGCCGGTCACGGTCTGCGCTGACCCGCCTCCTCCAGACCCGGGCCCAGCTGAGCGAGCTGGGGGTGTGAGCACGTGGTTCCCAGGACCACTGCCCCATGCTAGCCACTCTCTCCCCGGGAAAATTCCTGAAACTCCACGAACTCCACTCGGTACGTATGTAAAATGAGGGTAGTACGCGTCTCCAGGGCCACCGTGACGATCACACAAAATCCCGTATCTGAGGCTCCCGGCCCAGGATCCCATTTTCTTACACCTGCCACCAACGGAATGCTTCACAAAGAAAAGCGTTATCTTAAGAGGAAAATGTCTGACCTGCAGTCAAACAAGGGACAACGGAGCCCGTCCCTCCCAGCCTCCATCCCACAACTAGGACAACCATCGGGACTGTGGGTTATTGTTCACGTTTCCGGAAGGAAAGGGAAGCTACTGCGTCTGAGTGAGAAGAACCTTCTGGTGCGTGCTGGCCTCATGTGAATGCGGGTGGCATGAGTCCCCTCCCCTGGCCCGGTCTCTGGAGATTAAGAGCAGGTGAGCCCGCACAACGCCCTGCCTATTCTTGGCCTCCGAGCCACACGTGGCTGCCTCCCGGCTGGATCCGGAAAGTCCCACCGAACCAGGTTGTTAGCTAGCGTATGCCTCACATTACAAACAGAAAGCCTAAGAATTAAAGTCCACTACAATTTGTTCTACATGGTGTTTAAAAAAATTTTAAATTGCCAGTAGTTTAAAAATTGGAAGATTTTACCAAAATCTCAACGCCACCTTTTCTTGAAAAAGATTCCCACAGAGCATCAGTTGCTGTGGCTGAATGGCATCCGTCCCCGCCTGGAGGTTACGGGGTATTTCACGGGTGGGTACAATGCACTCTCTAGCCCTTAATGGGCCTACCCGGATGGCCTTGCTCACGTAGAGGTGTCCGCACCAACACCACATCAAGAACCAGTAATACGGTGATAATCACATCTGTCTGGTACTGTAGTTAGTAGTTCATTATTTGGGGGGGAAATTTAGTTAGAGACCTCACAGCCTGCATGTGCATATATGCACACATGCACACACACACGAGTACGGCTGGATTAGACGTAAAATGTGAAAACATGACATGGTAAAACTGGAGTGATTTTTATTTCATTCGGGTGTTCCATAATGTATAGAATTTTCTATAATACACACAAATGTGAAACGTGTAAATTTATTTAGAATTTTCTTTTTAAAGTTTATCATTCTGAGAGAGCGAGCGAGAGAGAGCACGGAGGAGGGGCAGAGACAGAGGGAAAGAGAGAGAATCCCAAGCAGGCTCTGCGCTGTCAGCACAAAGCCCCACTCGGGGCTCGATCCCACGAACTATGAGATCATGACCTGAGCACAGATCAATGGTCGGAGGCTTAACCAACTGAGCCACCCAGGCACCCCAATTTATTTAGAATTTTTAAAAAGATGAATTAGAATGAACACTTCATTTCAGAAGTTCCAGGACAGCAATATTTATGAACCGGTGTAAAGAATGGCTATAGAACAGAAATGAAAGCAAAAATGCCTTGAGACTCTTCAAAGAACAGTCCATGAATTTCAAATTATCTGACCCACTTAAAGACATCTCTCTCATCTTTATCTGAACTCTAGGCTAAACGATTCAAAGGAATTACATCCCCTTAGAATTTTTTTTTTTATAGAAAGTACGTTGCCAGGAGTATGTCCTAACTCTTGACCGGGTAAATGTACGATATCCCTGTGGGAAGGACACAGAGAGAGGTACAAAACAGGAAAATAACAAGGTTTAACAACATGGTCCCGACCCTTGAAGCAAACTTTGGTGACAAAGGTAAAGACAGGAGGCTCCATCTTCTTCTCAAGGAAGAATTGGGTCCCTGGAGGACGATATAGAAGGTGATACTGTATCACCTTCTAGAACATGCTTGGGTTTTCAACAGCATTTCTAATACGTGCCTGGGTTTTGTAAGCCTATTTATTTACTTTAAACTAGAAAAATACTCTTTCGATCCAAATAAGGATTTGAAAAAATTTTTGAAAGCCGGTTAGATCAAGTGTCAGAACCAGAAAGCACTTAGAAAAGAATCTCTGTGCTAAATGTTAATTAAGAGGTTATTTGGAGGGGGGCAGGAAGAAGGGGCAGACACAGGAAACAAAAGCCACCCGTGGAGTTTCTTCACCATCAGGTTTCCCTCCTCCAGGAGGAGGTCCCCCTCGGATGGCCCCACGTTCACGGCAGGAACACCCTCTTGCAGACAATCAGGACTGAGACATAGATAGGAGCGTATCTCGTGTCTGAGGTGTCTGAGGGCATGTGCCCTACTCTTTGTACGTGTGGAGAGGAGACTGTGCACCAGCCGTCAGGTGTGACAAATGTCTACGCCAGAGCCCCCGCCAGGCAATCACGCTCCCAGAGAGACACAGCTGACACCTTACGACTCCGCACTCCCATCGGCACTAATCAGACTAGGAGGCGGCCGTCCGACCCGCGGGTGGCCCATCCACAGGTGCCACCTCTGCCCGGGCCTGGCAGAACAGATAAGCCCGGCCACATCTTGCTCCTGAGAATGTGCGATCGGAAACACAAGAGAAAGCAGCAGTAAGCAATGGAAACAGGATGAAAAAACAGAGTTCAGGCCGAGGGGAGTTTCTGCAGACGGGGACACTAAGAGGAGGGAAAAGCTGTGACAGAGAAAAGACTCACAGGGTAACAGAAACAAAGACAGAGAACAAAACCCAAGGGTACCTCACGGTGGGGCTGCAGAGGGAAGATCCTTAACTTGTCCCAACGGTACCTGGGGCCGTCTGGGATCCAGAATCAACGTCTGCCTTCAATTTCTATGAGCCGTCACTCCAATGAACACTCCTGGTTTTCGGTTTTCAGGAACATTTCTCCAATGTCATAGCACACACATTCTTTCAATAAGCCGACCCTCCGCAGCACATGCGGGCTTAAGCCTCGGTTCTGTGTAGTCAAGGGAGCGCATCTAAAACAGTCTGGGAGTGAGGCGCCCAAGGTCAGAGCTGAACAAAACGGAGGGCAGACCATTCAACCTCCAGGGCCCTAGAGCCGGGCTCCTCCCGCGCTAAACCAGAGAGACCAGTGCACTGGAACGGGCGAGTGGTATCGATAGAAAGTAAACCGTGATGCTTGCAAAAGGGGGTGGAGGACCTGGAGACAGAATCCAGAAGCTGACCCTAGAGGAATCATCCAACAAAGAGAGACTAACGGTCTGAATGTGGAAAAAGGCAGGCTGCAAAGCTCGTGAGGTCTATAAAAATAAGGGGAGGTGGCAAATAAACGGAGCGCTGCCCCACTGGCTGGCTCACAGAATGAGGACATACCTTTTAAAATGTGAGAGGTAGTTTTAAAAACATAAGGCATTACTTTAAATATTAAACACGTGGAATTCACCAAGAATACCCAAGAGCTTCAAGGCTGGTTTAACACAAAAATATTTTAAAGACCGGCGTCAAAGACAATACAGTCACACCTCCCAGAATATTCCTGGGAGTCAGTGTCAGATATAGAACACTGCGGAAGACGAACCACAGATCCATTAGGGAAATGAAACAGAACTTTATTATTTTCTTCTAATTAAAAAAATACACATTTTGTGTCAAATTTCCAAATGGTACAAAAGTAAATGTTTTGAAAACTAAGTTTCACATAACGCGGATACTGGCGTTAAGGCTTCGGTACGTTGCCTTCCAGACATCTTTATCTGCACACTTGGTATTTTATTCCCAAAACACGCTCCCATCTTACACATATTTACTCTGCAACTTGCTTTTGTCAACACATTTTTTCTACACGACAACATACAGTGGTTCGAACAGCTGCGTGCGTTTCACAGCACGGATGTATCAGTTTACTTGGTCATTTTCCAAAGGCAGACACGAAGGTTGTCGGCATTATTTTTACTAACACAGGCTTTTTGGTGAGTATTCACATATATGTCATATACTTGTACGACTACTTCTGTCACATCAGTTCTGCAAGTGTTACTGTCAAAACGACATCCCGATTTAGGGGAGAGCAAACTGTAACGAACAAGGCAACCCAAGTGAGTAAGATTCTAAAGCCAGTACTGAGGCCACAGGACAGAAGAAGGATCCAGCCAGGAATGGAAGGCTAAGGCCTTGCGACCCTCCTGGTGGAGAAATCCGTACGATCACCTGGGGGGACGTGGGCAGGTGTGAACTGCCAGCTCTTCACCCTCAGGCCGGTCAGAGGTCCCCATCTGCATCCGAGTCTGGACAGCCTGACTCTGGCATCAGATCATCAGAGGCCAGAAGGAAATTTGTGGAGTACAAAGCATGGAAACGGAAGCATACACTTAATCCGGAAACAGAAAGGAGGACACTGAAGAAACAAACTATTTTTCTTTAAAACACAGATTGATTGGGGCGCCTGGGTGGCTCAGTCGGTTAAGCGGCCGACTTCGGCTCAGGTCATGATCTCACGGTCCGTGAGTTCGAGCCCCGCGTTGGGCTCCGTGCTGACAGCTCAGAGCCTGGAGCCTGCTTCAGATTCTGTGTCTCCCTCTCTCTGACCCTCCCCCATTCATGCTCTCTCTCTGTCTCAAAAATAAATGTTAAAAAAAAAAAATTTAAAAATAAAAACACAGATTGATTTACCTTTGGCATAATGTAGGGAAATGGCACTCGACTTCATAGTGATCCCTCGAACCTGTTCGTCTTCTCTGCTGTCCATGTACCTTAACTGTAAAATGCAACATACGCATCCTTACTTCCCAGTGAAATGTTGACACTAAGACGGTCTGAGCTGGACTTTTGCTTTAAACGCATCATTTTTAAACTAAAAGTCCTTCGTAGTTTGTTAATGTGGGGAGGGGGTGAGGAAGGTGAGCTGCCAAGGGAAGAGAGCGGACGCCCCGAGAGACAGCACCACATTCCGCACGCATTCCGGTTCCGCACGCCCTCCCCGGCATGTAGCACGCGGGGGCCGGTCGTTCTCTCCCTGCTCCTAGGCTGTCTGACGAAGTCTGGGCAAACACTGAAACCGAAGATCTCTAGAAGCATCAGGAGCCTTCACTCCTTTTTCCATGATCAATGATAAACAAATACTGATAAACGATGATAAATGATTATTTTTTTAATTTACATCTCTCCGACTGTCAGTGGGGTTGAGTATCGTAGTTTGCCACACTGGCCATGTGGCATTCCTCTTCTGGGAGTTTCCTGTTCAAGATTTTTGTCCATCTTTTTAATGGTTATATTACAGATTTGCTCTGTTCCGAATAGAAGCTATTTACAGTCCCTGAATATTAGACCTTTGTCAATGATGTGTTATTACTATTTTCTCCCACTTACCAGGCTTGTCTTCTCACTTTTTTTTATGGCATTTCCTGATGAACAGATGTTCTTAGTTGCAATGTACTTGAGTTGATCAAACCTACATAACGGGACGTACTTCTTCGTCTCATTGACGAAACCTTCTCTTGAGGTCACAGAAGTACTTTCCTATATTCTTTCCCCAAGTTTTATAATTTTGCTTCTCACATACGACTGTTTCAATTACATGCTGATTTCTGTGTGCGGTGTTAAGGAGAAGTCCAATTTTATTTATTTTCCCCGCAGATAACCAACTGTCCGAGGACAATGCGTGGAGAGGCTCGTCTCTTCCCTACAGATCGGAAATGCCAGCTCTGTGATCAACTCCACTGATCATATCCTCAACTCATTGGGGGAAGGAACTGCTCTATTTTTCTACTGCGAGTAACTTACACTCGCAGCTAGAAACAAAGATCTCTTTAATTTCATTTCCTAAGACACTATTTTCATCATGACCCTCAGACTCCAGCTGCCTTCAAGTTCTTCCGGAATCCGGCATTCTCTCCACCAGGACTTTTCCTCTCCCGGGGCCTCCAGGCAAATGCTCCCCCCGAATCTAGGACAGCACCCAAGTCAGCCCCGATCCCCTTTGTCCACTGTGCTCCCCCACCTGCCGGCGTCTCCCCAAACCACACACTCGTCCTCCACAGAACCTCGCGCTCCGTGAGAGCTTCCACAGCTGGGCCAGCCGTCACCGGACTTGTTACAAAAACTCATTTCTGCATTTAGGACGTATTACTATACAGCAACATAAAATACCTTTCTCAACATCTATATTATCTTGCTAAATAGACGAGCAGCTTCTCAGACACATAAACTGGGCTTTGCCCTCTTCCTGGATGTCTACGAATACATCACACCTCAGACAGCTGCTACCTACTGAAAGGCAACAAGACTTCATCGAATGCAACTACTTACCTTGCCTGCCAAGCGGCTGGAGATGATCCCGTTGCTAGATATAAGACAGTCGGCCAGAGTAGTTTTTCCTGTTAAAATAACAATAGTAATTCAAATCTATTTCTTTTCCTAAAGAGGAAGGATGATGTATCCTATCTACAGAATTAATTTCTGACCTTAAGAACTGGTTAAGCCAAGATTTCCCAGTTACCTGTACTGAGTGAAGTTAAGACATAATAAGCATTTCAAAGAGTTTGTCTGCACGGAGTGTCACCTGGAAGGACACAGACCCTAACGCTCCAGAGGGCTGGCAATCTGTAGCTCCAACCCGTGGATCTCATCACCCTCCCCCGAAAAGTCATCGAGCAACTTTTTTTTTAACTGACGCATAACCGACAGAGTAAAACGCAGACTCTTCAGTGACGAGACACACTACCATGCCGGCGACAAGAGAGAACGTGTGACGCGCAGCGTCCACGTGGCTCCTAAACTCTGTCCCACGAGAACTCGATCAAGTATCGCTACATTCATCGTGTGACAGCCCTAACGGCCATGCCACAGACTGAAGCTCTCGGTGGCCAGAACAACACGACGGCAGAAGACTCACGTCCGTCTCTGGACGGTACACGGCATACGACGTCACCAAGGGACAACAATATAACCTGCCACATGTCCCCAAGGATGGCCCGAGCTGGCACTTGCCAGTTAAACTGTCTTCGGGAAACACTTATGAGCAAAGCAATCCAAGAAGCTCACCCTCGCCTCCCGCGGAGGGCAAGCCTGCGGACGACATCGGCCACAGCGCAGCTACGACCGAGGCCACCCAGATCCGGGACGCACACCCCAGGGTCTCCTCCGGGGTAAAGTCTGGACTCGGGCACACACTGAGTTTCACGCGAGATTTTACAAAGACTACACAGTGTGAAGTGCAACAAACAGATAACTGTTTAAAGAATGCTGGGCTGAAGTGACAAACGGAGGGTCTTTTCTTAGGACAACCAAGTCCCTGGTACACTCTAAGAATTTTAGCAAAGCCACGGAATGGGTAACCGTACAAACCAGACAGCAGTCAGCGGGAGCACCGAAGAACACACGTGCCGCGTTCTCCGTGAGGCGCGTAAATACTGTGTGTTCGCACAGGCCTGGGGCGTCACTCCCCCGCCGTCCAGCGGGTACCACTCTAGGTCTGGCAGGCAGATTTCCCCGAGGACGTCAGGTGCTGAGAAAGCACCGTGTTTCAGCACTTTGGCTGTATCCCTGGGACCACACACCACTGACCTGCCACGTGCTTTAATTCACGAAGCAAATACACAGACGTGGACACACACCCACACTTCGGTCAAAGCTCAGGTCCTCGCAATGGGGGCAGCGTAACTACACAAACCCGTGGGCGGGCGTCACCCACGAAGCGACCCCACCAGCCCTTTCAGCTCCCGGGCTACTCCGCTGCGGCTGTTCCGCCCACAGCGACGGCCACCTAACGGACCTCTCTGCCTTCCATCCACACTGAACACTCCCGCCGGACCAATCTTCCCAAGGTGTTGATTACAACACCCCTGCTTTATTCTGCTCTCCCGGTGGCTCCCTGCTACCCAACGGCAAACGTTAACCACCAGAGTCACGACAGGGCGCGCACCCGCCAAGGGTTCCTGGCCAGCGTCCCAGGTGACCCCCTCCGCCCCGTAAGGCAGGCAGAGTCTTCCAGGTCTAGACGCTGCGTGCTGACGCTCCCAAGGGCGAGGTGACTTCAAAGGGAGTTCCGACCCCGGGCTGTCTCACTCCAGGGCGGGGTGGCGCTCACCCGGATCCCAGTCCTAGGCGGCACGAAGCGCTCTGTGAGCTACGGCCCAGGCGGCCTCGTCACTCACGTTCCCCTCTCACCGCCTCACCACCACACCCACTCCTCTGAGCCGGCTGCGGCTACTGCAGGAGGAAGGGGTGCGAAAGGGAGAGCACGCTTAGCAGGAAGCAACGCGGTGGTGCAAAGACGGGATCTGTCAGCAGCGCACCATCGTCCCCTAGCTACCTCTGCGCTGCCCGCGTCCTGCGCTTCGGTCACACGCGTCCCCTTCTCGCCTACTGACGCCGTCCCCACTTGGAACGTGCGTCCCCACCTGCCATCTTGAGTCCCCCTGCGGGGGTCACCTTTAACACCAACTATGCTGTGAAACCTCTTAACCCATCCCTGCCCTCCCAGCCCTCCAGCTGTCCCGACCTGCGGAGTCCACCCTCTGCCCCTCACCTCGTGCTGCCTCGACCCCCAGATCTCCTCCAGGCTTCCACTGCTGGCCCAGTCACAAGTTTCTGCCCTTCCCACACAGGCAGCAAAAGCCCCCGAATCTAGCAGACGTTCAAGAAACACCCGACGAGTCAAGCAGAATCACATCACACAGGCTCTGAGACACTGTGTCTAGACTAGACTTTTTTAGATTACAAAGCCGTTTCAAGAAAACAAAAAACAAAAAACAAAATAGCTTATTTCAACAACAACAACAACAACAAAACCTCAAGGTCTCGTTTAAAAAAAACACACAATGAGGGGCGCCTGCCTGGGTGGCTCAGTCAGTTAAGCGTCCGACCTCGGCTCAGGTCATGATCTCGCGGTCCGCGAGTTCGAGCCCCGCGTCAGGCTCTGTGCTGACAGCTCAGAGCCTGGAGCCTGTTTCAGATTCTGTGTCTCCCTCTCTCTGACCCTCCCCCGTTCATGCTCTCTCTCTGTCTCAAAAATAAATAAACGTTAAAAAAAACAAAAAAAACACACAATGAAATACACCCCACCGAAGAATGCTAATCACTAGTTCGCCGTGTTCATTTCAAACGCTTTTATGGCCAGCACCGCGGACATCAACCTTCCAAAGGAATACTTGCTCCTCCGCAAGCGTCAGGCTCAACAGCCAACAGCGTCCCCTCCCCGCTCTGACACATGTGCAGACACACCCCCCTAATGACTGAAAATAAGCCGTTCGGAAAGGAGTCTTACCATGGTCGACATGAGCCAGAATGCAGATATTCCTGATGTTAGCTGTGTTTTTCTGCAGCTGGATCATCTTATCCAGACTATTCAGCACCATGGTCCTTTCTTTCCTGGGACTAAAAATTAGGGATGTGTTACAAATGGCACATGGGCTAAACACCAAAGCCTCACTTC